TCTTTCTGGCACACCTATGATTTGGATGTTGGAATGTTTAAAGTTGTTTTGGAGGTTCCTAAGCCTCTCTTCATTTTTTAAAATTCTTATTTCTTCATTCTGTTCTGGTTGAATATTTATTTCTTCCTTTTGCTCCAAGCCCTTGTTTTGAGTCCCAGTGTCCTTTCTGTCACTGTTAGTTCCCTGTACATTTTCATTTGTTTAACTTTTCATAGCCTTCACTTTTTTCTCTATTTTGCAACCATACTCAACCATTTCTGTGAGCATCCTGATTACCAGTGTTTTGAACTCTGCATCTGACAGGCTGACTATCTCTTCATCCCTTAGTTGTATTTTTTCTGAAGATTTGATCTGGTTTTTCATTTGGGCTACTTTTTTTTTTTTGTAACGACGTGTCTGTTATACAGTGAGGGGTGGAGCCTTAGGTATTTACCAGGGTGAGGCAACCCACATCACTGCATTATGGTGCTGCATGTGAGGGTGGTGTTAGAGAGGGAACAGTGCCACTTGCTCAGCTTTTGGCCAGCTTTCAATCACTTTGTCTGCTACCCACAAGCAAATTGGGCCCTTCTGGTGCTGATTCCCAGGTGGGTGGGCTTGTGTACATTCTAGGACCCTGTGGGTCTCTCCAATAAACTCTCCTGTGAAGCTGGGAGTTTATCCCACTGCGGCAAACCCCACAGGTTTTTTCAGTCAGGGATTTTGAGGCTTTATTTCCCTGTGCTTGAATCCTGGGTTGCATAGTCTGTCTCACTCCCCAGTTATTCCTCCCAGTTTATCTGCCCACTCTGCCAGCTGCCACCAGCCACTCTGTCACCCACCCTTGTCCTCCAGCTGCTGCCTTGCCAGGAGTCCTCTCCACCCCAGCTGCCCATCTCCACCCCTCCTACTGGTGTGGATGAATGTTTCTTCTTTAACTCCTTGGTTGTTGGACTTCCATACAAGTTTGATTTTCTGGCAGTTCTGGTTATTTTTTGTTTTTAAATTTGTTGTTGTCCTTCTTTTGGCTGTATGTGGAGGCAAAGTGTATCTATCTTCACCTCCATCTTGACTGGAAGTCAGAAGTTCTTTCTCTTATAATGGCAGGCAGATGGAGCCATTCATAAGACCTAGGGAAGAAGCAATTCTGTTTTCTATTATTTGAGATTAGGAAAGCAGACTTGAAAAGATGTAACAGAAGAATTTATTTTTTATTTTAAGTTACAATTGACATGCAATATTATTTTGTATTAGTTTTAGGTATACAGCACAGTTTTCAGACAATCACATACTTTACAAAGTATTCCTCCTGATATTTACAGTACCCACCTGGCACCATACATAGTTATTACAATATTATTGACTATACTCCCTGTGCTATAGTTTACATCCCCATACTATTTTATAACTACCAATTTGTACTTCTCAATTGCTTTACCTTTTTCACCCAGCCATCCATCCCTCTCCCCTCTGGCTACTGTCAGTCTGTTCTCTGTATCTATGAGTCAGTTTTAATTTTGTACGTTTATTCTGTTTTTTAAATTCTACATATGAGTGAAACCAGATGGCATTTGTCTTTCTCTGACTGGTAAGATTTTGTTCTTTTCATGGCTGAGTAATTTTTCATTGTATATATGTACCACAGCTTCTTTATCCATTCATCTATTGATGGGCACTTGGGTTGCTTCCATGCTTTGGCTATTGGAAATAATGCTGCAGTGAACATAGGGGTGAATATATTCTTTGGAATTAGTGTTTTAGGTTTCTTTGGATATATACCCAGAGGTGGGAGCATTTAGAGTTTATGTGGCTTTAGGTACTGAATTCCCAAGAGCCTTGGTGATAAAGATTCTTTTGTCTATCTGCTCTCTGAGAGATTTGATTCTTTGGAGCTAGGAAAGAAAAATAAAATTCCAGCTTGTGCCAGATTTGGCTCTGGATGTCTCCTTTGGCATTCTTATCCCTTTGGACTCTTTCCTCCCACTGGGATGCCACCTCTCACTAGGTATTGTCTCTAGCAAGCAGAGAACCTCATTAATAACTACTCCATTTATGATTCTAGAGGAAGATTCTGGATACACTAAAATATCTTCTTCCTTTTCCTGCCTGTCTTCTCTGGTATCAGCTTGCAGTTAGGGGGTTTCCCTTCTTGAATAGCATTTCCCCTTGTTATTTTTCTTGTTCTAATTTTTTTCTCATGTTGGAATTATCTGTTTACTCAACCATCAGGTTTTGCAGTTTTCTGGAAACTTTTCAAGCAATTACTGTAAGGTAGGCACTAAAATATATTCTGGGAATGAATAAGTAGTAAACCACTGTTTCTCTTCATAAGGAGCTCAGAGTCTAAACTTGGGACAAGATGTAAATAAGTGCAATATAAACATGGCACTGTAATCCTGCTACATGGATTCAAAAATTACCACTTCTTGAGGAGAATAATAAATTACTTACAGAAATCTATCATTATACTGAATCTAGAAGGGAGATAGGAGTTATTTCAAGTAGAGAAAGGATAAGTGCACACCAGGGAGAGCCCACAGAAGATTAAAAGTGGGGATTAATTAAACGGTAAGGTGAACTTAGAAAATGAAAAAATAGTTAGTAAAATATGAAGAATAATACAGGGTAGACAAAGAAAATTGAAATATGGGTCTGGCCACGTGTGAAGCAGCCAGATAACAGAGTCTTGTGTTTAGATTTTTTACTTTCATTTTATTTATTTTAAGTGGAACATAATCAACAAAACAAACAAGCAAGCAAAATATAACCAGAAACATTGAAATGAAGGACAAAATGACAGGAACCAGAAGAGAGCGGGGAGAGGGATAATGGGAGAAAATATAGGAAGGTCCATCAAGGGACATGTATAAATGACACATGGACAAAGCCAAAGGGGGTAGATTTGAGGGTGGGAAGCAGGGATGGGTGTGGGGGGGCATGATGGGGTGAAAATAAAGACAACTGTACCCGAACAACAATAAGAAAATAAAAAAATTAAAAAAATTTATTGTTGTTCAGTTACTGTTGTAACTGAACAACAATATTTCCCCCCCATTTCCCGCCCCCCATACTCACCCCTGCCCTACCCACCTCCCACATTCAATCCTACCCTCCACCCCCTGTTGTCTTTGTCCACAGGTCCTTTATACCTGTTCCTTGACTTGACACTCCCTCTTCTTTCCCCCATTATCCCCCTCTTCCCTCCCTTCTGGTTACTGTCAGTTTGTTCTTTATTTTTATGTCTTTGGTTCTATTTTGCTCACTTGTTTGTTTTGTTGATTAGGTTCCACTTAAAGGTGAGATCATATGGTATTTGTCTTTCATCACCTGGATTATTTCACTTAGCGTAATGCTCTCTAGTTCTATCCATGCTGTTGTGAGTGTAGGAGCTCCTTCTTTCTTTCTGCTTTGTAGTATTCCATTGTGTAAATGTACCACAATTTTTTGATCCACTTATTTACTTATGGGCACTTAGGCTGTTTCCAGTACTTGGCTATTGTAAATTGTGCTGCTATGAACATTAGGGTACATAGGTTCTTTTGAATTGGTGTGTCAAGACCCAGTAATTTTACTTTCATTTTATTAACGTGATGTGTCATATTGATTTTTTAATATTGGAAAGTATTTTTATTTTTTAAAAAAACTTTCTTTTTGATTTAGAGAATTTTTTATTGTTGATGCTATTACAGATGCCCCATTTGTACCTCCTTTGTCGCCCTTCACCCAGACCCTCCCACCACCTTCTGTGTCCATGGGCTATGCATATATGCATGTATGTTCTTTGGCTAATCTCTTCCAGTCAGCCTACACCCCTGCCCTCTGAGATCTGTCGTCGTGTTCCATGTAGCCATGCTTCTGGTTTTATTTTGCTTGTCAGTTTATTTTATTCATTAGATTCCCATATGAGTGAGATCATATATTATTTGTCTTTCTCTGATTGGCTTATTTCAATTAGCATAACAATCTCCAGGTCCATCCAGGCTGTTGCAAAGGGAAAGAGTTCTTTCATTTGTATAGCTGCGTGGTAGTCCATTGTGTAAATTTGAGATTTGCATATGTTGAACCATTTTTGCATTCCAGGGGTAAACCCCACTGGATCATAGTGAATAATCCTTTATTGTACTGCTAAATTTGGGTTGCCAGCACTTTACTGAGAATTTTTGTATCTATATTCATTAGAGATATTAACCTATAGTTGCAAGAAATATTTTTAACAATCAAAAGTGTAGTTATATAACTTACCAATTTAAAAATAAGATATAAGACTTTTAAGTCATGTAAGTGGGATATAAATACCAGCTCTGTTTATCTTGGGAGTCTGAAATGGAGACAAGTAAACAATTTTATGGAACTTAAGAAAATTAAAAGCAAAAATTAAGTAAGGTAATATAATGTTGGTAGAATAATGGAAATAACTAAATTTGCATGATTAGTTGCTTTTATGTATGAAAATATGAAGGATATTGTTTTTTAGGTATTTTAGTTGACCATATAATGTGTCAGGTGCTTTGTCTGTTTTATGTCATTGAATTCTCCTGACACCTTGGTGAGAATAATTATTCCCATGTTAAACAAATCCTAAGGGATGTGTGTGATATGATAAAATCAGTAACTGGAAATTCTCTCACCTTCCTATTACAACAAATTCTTGTTTAATGGGAATCACTAGAGTGAAAGCAATAGGGAAAAGCAAGAATGAAAAAGAGTAGCTCATATGACTCAAGAGCCAGGATGTAGAAGGCACTCAGTGAATATGAGCTAGGCAGTAGTCTTACTCTTTCTCAAACAGTACTGGATTGTATCAGGGCCCAAGGGCCAGCATATTTATTATACTACTGTAGAAAGACCCTCTAAGTAGAGTAGTATCAGTCTTTAGTCATCAGGAATTAATAAACATCAGAAAGAAGGCTGGCAGTCCAAATGGTAGTAATGCTAAGCAAAGAATAAAAAGCAGAACAGAAAGATCTGATAAGTCTAAATTCGGGGGGGTGAGAGGGGAAAAACCATCCTGGCTAGCTCTTTCCCAATTCAGTTCCTCTAAGGCACACATTATTTGCTTCAACTGGAAACATTGATTCACAGCTCAAGATAAAATTCCCTCACTGCTCAGACTTCATGTTTCTGCACAATGAGGAGCAGATATTGTGCATTTTATCCAAGTAGGTATAATTTAATGAAAACCATCTGAGTGTTCTTTATCCCTTTGGAGAAACTTCTGTGTCTTCTGCATGATTCTTAGCTTGCTGTTGCATAGTCCCTCAGAAGAGTAATAATAAAGAAGTGTAGTTTGTTTTGTTCTGTTAGCCTCACAGAGAAGGAAGTGGTTTGAACTTGCAGCCAGGGGAAAATTGGGGGCTTATTTTGGGGTCTCTCAATTTATTATCTATAACATTTTGCTATTATTACCTATAAATATTTTTGTTCTTAGAATATATCCTGAAAAGTAATAGGATGCCTGTAATTTGCTTCCAAAAAGTCCAGTGGGGGTAGGAGTGAGTAGAGGTGTAGATGAAACAAAAGTTGTCATACATTTATTATTGTTATAGTGGGGTGATTGATACACAGGTGTTCAGTTGTCTGTTTTTCTACTTTTTAGTATGTTTGGAATTTTCTACTAACAGTTAAAAAATTTTTGAAGATCCTGAACTGTAAATAACTAAGATTGGTATCTGAGTAAGACAGCCAGATCCAAGAAGTTTCTTCATAAGATGTATCTTGTAAAATGGATGAGAATAGATGATCTAGTATGTGTGCCTGTTGTTTTCTATCTGTGTAAATTTTGATCACTACACTAAAAGCCTCTTGCTATCAATGCCTGGGAGGCTTCTGGAAGATAAAAGGGAAAATCTTTCTTCCCTGGGGTCCTGTGGGAAAGTCCAGGAGCCTGTGCAGAGGGAAACACCAGGATGCTGCTAGAAGCCATGAAGCTGTAAAGGGATGGGGGTCCACTTCACCATGTGGTCAAAGCTATTTCTGTGGGTGCTCTGGATCTCATTTCTGAGTCATAGCCATGTCCTCTCTGTCTCTGTTTTAGGGCTCTGGGTCCTGCTAATATCATGGGGAACTATTGCCCGGAGGTCTGGAAGTGAGTATATTCAAACAAACCCCACCCACCACCTGGAGCCCAGGAAAGGAACTTGACACTAACAAGGACTTATCCTTGGGAATGGTCTTCTTAGGTTTTGAGAAAGTGATCCTTCTTTTTCAAACTTCCAGTCTATTACCAAGGGCTCTTGTTTGTATGAAGACAGGCATCTCTTCCCTTTCCTTCCTCCATCTCCTTGTTCCCAACTGGCAGCTGGCATCTTCTGAGGGAGCTCAGACCTAGATGTCCATTTCTCACAGCTCCCTGTGCTCGGTGCCCACGCAATGCCCATTGTCTCAATGCCACTTCCTGCTGCTGTGATCCTGGATTCACTTCTCTGTCTGGAAAGACCATCTTTAGCTCTCTCTTGGAAGTCTGCACAGGTAAGAGGCTGAGGTAAAATAGAGGGGGGTATCAGAAATTTGGGGGCATCTAAAGTCCTCAGTTCTTAAAGTAGCATTAAGATTCTTTGCCAAGGGTAGGAGAGAGGAGTCAAAAAGCAGGGCACTCAGTTCTCATGGTCAGGGGTATAGTGTTCAGAGCTCAGGTTTCAGAGCTGGCTATCTGAATTCCAGCTGTATTACTGACTAGCTGTGTGAGTCCGGGTAATTTGTCTCACTTCCTGGCATCTCAATTTCCTTATCTGTAAATCAAGGATAATAATAATATCAACTCATCTAGTTGCTTTAAATTAATGAATACATATTAGTGGAATCCATGGAGACAGAAAGCAAAATGATAGGTACCAGATGCTGGGGAAGAGGGGAATGGGCAATGACTAATTAATGGTGATTACTTTTAGAGAGATAAAAATGTTTTGGAACTAAGTAGAATTGGTGGTTACACAGCATTGTGAGTTAAATACAACTGAATTGTTCAGTTTAAAACAGTTGATTTTGTTATGTGAATTTTCATCTCAATTAAAAAAGATAAATTAATAATGTAAAAATAAGACACTGCCTTTCACCTGACAAGTCGATGCATGTTGTTGTTGTTGTTGAAGTGTTGTTGTTATAAATTGGTCAAGGGTAGAGGCACCATGGCAAAGGAGGAAACTCTGGCGAGGACCACACAACAACCACATATTTGCAATGTTCCACCAACTCTAGCACTTGTTTGCAGAAAAGTCCATGTAAGTCAGAATCTCAGTTCCTCCATCCAAAAATAACCACTGTAATCTCTTGCCAGTATGGCCATTTTCCATCTGTACAGCACAATTTCTGAAATTAAAATTAACTTAAACCACATGCTATCTAGATGATACTATTATTATCCCCCACTTAGGAGGAAACAGACTTTGGGAAGTAGCTTGCTCAGGCTCACCCAGCTGGTTGTACACTGGAATTCAGACAGGGTTAATATGAAGATGAGGAAGCTCTTAAACAATGTCCCATAAGAGGCTCAGAGCAACTCCTTGAAAAGTAAATAGAAAGAAGGAACTCCTACCCTTTGCAACAGCATGGCTAGAACTAGAAAGCATTATGCTAGGCAAAACAAGCCAGGAAGTGAAAGACAAATACCATATGATCTCACCTTTAATAGGAACCTAATCAATAAAACAAACAAGCAAAATACAACCAAAGACACTGAAATTGAGAACAGGCTGACAGTGACCAGAGGGGAGAGGGGAGAAGGGAGGGAATTTCAGGGGAAAAGGGTGAAGGGTTTGCAGGAAGAAGTATAAAGGACACATGGACAATAATGGAGAGTGGGGTGTGGAAACAGGAGGAGGTGGGGAGGGCTGGGGGGGTTAGCGGGGGTGGGGTAAAAGGCAGAAAACTGTACTTGAACAACAAAATAAAGAATTTTAAAAAAGTAAATGAGAAACCTTGGGCCTTGAGAGGTGAAGTAACTTGTCCAAAGCCACACAGCTAGAAAGTGGGAGAACATGGACCACATCTCAAACTACAGTTTTCTGAGTTGACCATGAGTTAAATAAAATATGAAATATTCTTACTATGGAATATTCTATAGGCATGAAAGTTATCTATTATTTTGATATGAAACAGTTGTCACAATATATTTCACAATCCTGGAAGAATTTGCATAAGCCTAAGCTGTGCTGTGATTCCATGGGAGGTGGGTATAGATGAAAAAGTAATGATCCAGTCTTAATGATTGGTGAAGCTGAGCAATAGGTATATATTCTCCCCTTTAAAAATTGTTTCAGTGATTGCATATCTGTGTTCCTTGCATATTCTGCTTTCCCAGTTTTCTCCTGCAAACACATTATTTTGTTTAAAATGAAAACACAATGAGTAGAAGCATTTAAATCTGGTTTCTACAAATTCTAACCAGAATTTTGGCCCATCCTAGCTGTTCTCACTTGTGTTTCAGATATCAACGAGTGTGGTCCACCATTATACGTGTCTTGTGGAAATTTTGCAGATTGTCATAATGTGGAGGGAAGTTATTATTGTGAGTGCATTTCTGGGTACGAGCTCGTTTCAGGGGGCACCAAATTCAAAAATGAGACAAACACTTGTCAAGGTAAGTAGTTACCCATGTCATGTGTTCCCTTTACCTGTCTCCCCATGCCACTCTCACACTCAAGTTCATCCAGTCAGTTTTAAGACTCTCTTGGAACAGTTAATTACTAGATCTGAGAGCCCAGGAGAAAGCCCACTTGGGTCTATTTAGGGGCCCATTCCTCCCATTTTCCATTCTTGTTCAGACTTGCAACTCCATGTTAGGGTACATTTAGAAAGTTCTTTATAGCAATATAATATGCAATAGTTAAAGATTGGAAACAAATGACATGACATTCAGTAATGTATTATGGTAGAACCATACAATCATAAACTTAAGAACTTTTTCATGACTTCTTTTTTTCTTTTTGGTGGACAGTTCTATGAATTTTAATGCATGTTAAAAACTTGGGTTACCACCACCATTAGGATCCAGAATAATTAGTTCCATTATCCCAAAGTGCTTCCTCATTTTGTCCCTTTATAGTCACCCTTGCCTCTATCCACTGACAACCCTTAATCTGTTATTTTGCCTATAATATTGTCTTGAGAATACCATATAGAAACAGAATAATGCAGGGTGTTTGAGTCAGGTTACTTCCAGTCAGTGTAATGGTTTTGAGGTTCATCCAGTAGTTCCAATAGTTCATTTCTTCTTATTGCTAAGTAATATTTTATTATATGGCCATACCACACTTTGTTTAACCATTCACTCACTGAAAGACATTTGGGTCACTTCCAGTCTTGGATGATTATGAATAGAATTAAATGAGAAAGCTCTTGATAAACTAAATTGAAATGCTTCCCAAGTTCTGTTTTCAAAATTTTTGAAGTGCTGCAGAATTGTTCCTATAGTATGCCAATAGCTTTTCTTCTCCCTGATCTTCCTTTTTGTTCATCTCCAGCGTTTCTTTATAAATACATTTTTATCTTAAAACTCTTCAAGTCTCTTTTAGTAGTATTAAGACAATAATTTCATCATAGGTATGGTTTGATTTCCTATCACTGCTCTGGGCTGCACTCCAGGGCCTGCAAATAGAACTGGGAAGGATAGCCCCATATCCTGGAGTTTCCTCTTCAGTGGGCAGAGAGACCTGAAGACAAGGGCAACATAAATCAAAGGGCATGAAAAGGAGTAGTGTCTGTGCATAAACCACCCACTTCATGGGTAGATAATGTCCTTCTCACCACTGTGTCCCAGTGCCTGATACATGGAAGGCATTTAAGAAATATGCATAAATGAATCACTTGAAAGAGCTCTGTTGTTACAATAATCAGAACCACCTTGGCCCTGATATTTGACCTTGGTTTTGGCCAAGTGTTTTGAAATTTCTGGTCCTGGGTTTTTCATGTATAAGTTGGGAATGATAATACCTACTCTTGAAGAGATTAAGTTTTTTTAAAAAATATATTAAGTTATTTATCTTATAGGATAGAGTTCAACACTCTTTAATTAAAGTATAGTTGACATACAATATTATGTTAGTTTCAGGCACACAGCATAGTTATTCTACATTTATATACCTTACAATGTGATCACCATACAAAGTTATTATGATGTTATTGACTATATTCCCTGTGCTGTACACTGCATTCCCATGACTTAATTTATTTTATAACTGGAACTTTGTACCTCTTATTTCCCCTACAACCCTACCCTCTGGCAACCATCAGATTGTTCTCTATATCTATGAATATGCTTCTGTTTTATTTTGTTGAGTGTTTTTTTAGATTACACATATAAGTGAGATGATACAGTATTTGTCTTTCTTTGTCTTTGTCTTATATCACTTAGCATAATACCTTCTAGATCCATCTATGTTGTTGCAAATGACAAGGTTTCATTTGTTTATTGCTGAATAATATTTCATTGTACCGTACAATACACTTTAAATAAAGTTTAACAGACTTAAATTAATTAATGACTTTTCAATGTATTAATTATTTTGATACTATCTATTTGTATTATTTATATAGTTGTTTGAATAATGTTTTAAAGTATTTGAAATAATTTAGAGATGGAGGTATTTAGAATTTACAAAGAGAAAAGTAAAATGTTAAATCTTTCAACAGCCCTGGCTGGTGTGGCTCAGTGGATTGAGTGCTGGCCTGCAAACTCAATAGACTGAGTGCCAGCCAGTTTGATTCCCAGTCAGGGCACAAGTCTAGGTTGCAGGCTATGTCCCCAGTAGGGGGCAGGTGAGAGGCAACCACACATTGATATTTCCTTCTCTTTCTGTCTCCATTCTCCTCTCTCTAAAAATAAATAAATAAATTCTTTAAAAAGTAAACCTTTCAACATTAAGAAATATGACAGCAATATATTTGCTTTAAAATGTTTTTTGAAAGATTGATTTAAATTTATTGGGGTGACACTGGTTAATAAAATTATACAGGTTTCAATGTACACTTCTATGAGACATTATCTGTATGTAAACATCAATCTTGTTGGGAGGATTATCTATTTCTAAGCTATTCACCAGCCCTGAAAGAGAGAAACCTCCAACCTTCAGGGCTCCTCTCACTTCATTGTCTGGGTTACAGACAGAAAAAGTTATACTTAAATATTGTCCAAACTCTACTCTCCTGGTATCTAAGTTAGCAAAAGAGGGTCCAATTTCTCCCCTAATTAGAAAAGAGAGAAAGATAAGTTTAGAGCCAAATAAATTTGAAGATACCCACATTTACTCAACACTGTGACCACAGTCACATGGCTTCCTCATTTCTCATCCACAAACTTCTCTAGAAAGAAGGAACTTCCTCTGAGTGAGGTGATTGCACAAATACCTGAGATATCCTGAGGCCAAAATAAGTTCCTTCTAGGTGTGGCATTGAGAACAGACCTACCATCCACCCCATAGGTTGTGGGCAACCCTGAGGCTGTCCTGGAGTGTAGACCTGTGGCTGGAGCCATAGGAGGTTGAGGAAAAGCATCAGCCAGTGGCTGGGAGCTTTGTGAGCTGGCTAATCACAGCTCAGGTTACCCATCAGACTCCTGAAGCAATGCTAAGAGCTGATTCCAACACCACTTGGCTGGAACCCATTCTCAGGTTCCTGAATGGACCATTGTACTAGTTTCCTATTGCTCATATAATGAATTTCCACAAACTTAGTAGTTGAAAACAAAACAAATATATTCCCTTAGAGTTTGGGAAGTCAGAAGTTTTAAACAGTTTCTTCTAGAGGCCCTAGGGGAAAATCTGTTTCCTGCCTTTTGGCTTCTAGAGTTTACCTGCATTCCATGGTTCTAGGCTTCTTTCTTTCTCTTCAACACCAACAGCATATCTATCATCTCTTTTCCTCTCTGACCTCCTCCTCCACTCTCATAAATAGGACCTTTGTGATTACACCAGGTGCACCCTGCTCATCCAGGATTATCTGCCATTTCAACATCCTTAATCACAAAGCTCAAAAATTCTTTTGAATGAAAGGTAACATACTCATACATTCCAAAAATTAGAACTTGAACACTTAGACATTTTGAAGAGGCCATTGTTTTGTCTACCATACTCACCACTCACCAAGCAACTCTGATGAAAGATATAACACAAATGCACTCACACTCACACTCACATAGTTCTTGTCTTGCCCACCTTGCTTGAATATAGAGACCAGAAAACTCCTTCTGTGAAGGGCCACATAGTAAATATCTTAGGCTTTGGGGACCAAAAGGTCTCTGTCACAACTACTTAATTCTGCCATTCTAGTTTGAAAGCAGCCATAGACAACATATAAATAAATAGGCATGACTTTATTCCAATAAAACTTTATCTATAGATACTAATATAAGTTTAATTTTATAAAATTTTCATGTGTCATAAAAGATATCTCTCTTTGACATTTTTTGGCCACTTAAAAATATAAAAAAACATTCTGAGCTAGCTCATGGACTGTATAGAAACAGGCAGCAGGTGGGCTTGGCCTGGGACCATAGTTTGCCAGCCCCTGCCCTGAGGTGGTAGGACAGCAGAGAGTGCCACCACAAGATGGTACCCATTTTAGCTGTGATGGACTCCTTGATGCCTGCACTTGAGGAAGGTGGTGAAGGGTAGTAAGGCTGGGATTGGCAAGTAGAAGAGAGGCCTTAGCAGGGCTGGGCTAGGGGACTGATCCTCTTTTTTATGTCTCCAGATGTGGATGAGTGCAGCTCAGGACAACACCAATGCCACAACTCCACCCGCTGCAGGAATGTGAGGGGCAGCTACAGATGCTACTGTGATCATGACTGGGTGACCAGGTCCAGCCCTCTGAATGGTCTAAACACCACTGTCTGTGAAGGTATATTGTCTTGACACACACACACAAACAGACACACATGTGCACACACATACATGTATTCAAGCCACATTACTGTATGTGTGCACAAATGTGTGCACAAAAAACAAGTGCACACATGCATGCACACATATGCACACTCACAAGGTGCACATGCACACACATACCAATGGTGCTCCTGCATCTTTTCCTTGCAGAAGCCCCCTTCTCCTCTTGGACACCACCTTCTGGAGTCAAGAGTCAGGTGAGTGAAGACTCAGAAGAAGACCAGGAAGCAGAAAGATTCTTGCCAACACCATCCTGTGTCTCTGTCCTCTCCTCAAGTTCCCTCTTCAGGATCTCTGATCAACCTCCATGTTTGGTCTCCCCAGAGCCTCACCCGCTTCTTTGACAAAATTCAGCAGTTATCTCAAGATTTCAAGCCAGCCTTGGCTGAGAACACCATCCAGGTAAAGCCAGAACCAAGAAAGAGGCAAGATATGGAAATCTCATAGAGACTTGGGTTGCTTTGGTAGCAGTGCAGCCAAATGCCGATATAGTAGACACTGCAATTGGCCTCTCACCCACAGTGGGGAGAAGGCTGGGACACTCAGTTATCTAGAAGCACTTTTAAAAGCACCCAGGTGCACTAACTAACTTATGGTTCTTTCCCTATTGCTGGCTTTGGACTTTGGGTTTATGTCATCCTTGGAATTCCTAACCCAGGTTGACCTCTGTGTGGCTAAGATCTAAGCAGCAAAGGCCATCAGAGGAATCTAATTCAGTGCCATTGTTATTCTCCAAATAGATGGTTTCTAGGGTCTGTTTTCTGGGGCTAAATAATCAGGGTCTTCATGAAGCTCCTTTGGTCTGTTACCCACTATCTTGTATCCCCATTGTCCCAGAACCTCATGCAGGAGGTGGATGAGCTGCTGGAGACCCCTGGGGACCTAGAGACCCTGCCCCACTCAGAGCAGCGCTGTGTAGCCACTAACTTGCTCAGTGGCCTGGAAGATGTTCTGAGAGGGCTGAGCAAGGACCTGTCCAATGGGCCATTGACTCTGCATGCTCCTGCAGGCACAGGTAAGCACCTGGGTCTACCTCAGACTCCTGCTCCACCTGTTCACCATTCCTCCTTCTCCCTACAGATTGCCCCAGTGGAACCAAGTGACCACACTCACATTTCAGGGTTTTATTTAAAATAGAATATTACTCGTACAAGAAAATAAAGCCCTATGAAACTAAGTTCTTCATTTGTTTCAAGCACAAAACTTAAATTTAAAAAAAATGAGAAGCAAAAATAAATATATACAAATCATCAATAAGTATATCATTATATTATTTATATAATTATAACAAAATACCTGCAATTATATTAATAAAAATAAAATGTTCAAAAATAGACACTTCCCCAAGGAGAGGATGTACAGAGGGCCAAAGACATATGATAGGATGCTCAGCATCACTAGTTAAAACCACAATGAGATACAACTTTACACCAGTCGAATGGTCATCATAAACAAACCAACAAACAAGTGCTGTTGAGGTTGTGGAGAAAAGGGACCCCCTAGTCCACTGTTGGTGGGGATGCAGACTGGTGTAGCCACTATGGAAAACGGCATGGAATTTCCCCAGAAAACTAAAAATGGAACTGCCTTTTGACCTGGCAATTCCACTGCTGGAATTATACCCTAGGAGCCCTGAAACACCAATCCAAAAGAATCTATGCACCCTAATGTTCATAGCAGCACAATTTACAATAGCCAAGTGCTGGAAGCAACCTAAATGCCCACCAGTAAATGAATGGTTCAAAAACCTATGGTACATTTTCACAGTGGAATACTACACAGCAGAAAGAAAGAAGGAACTCCTACTCTTTGTGACAGCATGGAGGGAACTGGAGAACATTATGCTAAGTGAAATAAGCAAGGCAGTGAAAGACAAATACCATGAGATCAAATACCATGATCTCATTTTTAAGTGGAATCTAATCAACAAAACAAACAAGCAAGCAAAATATAACCAGAAACATTAAAATAAAGAACAAAATTACAGGAATCAGAGAAGAGGGGAAAGAGGGAAAAAAGGGGAAGGTCTATCAAGGAACATGTATAAATGACACATGGGCAAAGCCAAAGGGGGTAGGTTTGAGAGTGGGGGGTGGGGATGGGTGGGATGGGGGGTTGTGGTGGGGTGAAAATGGAGACAACTGTACTTGAACAATAATTAAAAACATAAACACTACTTGCAAATGAAGAAAATGCAATTAATCTTGAAATGTTGAAAATTACGAAATATTTTATCTGTTTTAAGTACAATCTTAAATAACATTACATCAATGGTTTCACTGTGGAAACATGTCATTTTTGTGTAATTTTCTCAGCTCTTTCAACACCTATACTGCCCAGGAAGATGGTAAGAGAGGATTAAACACTGGTTAAAATTATTTCCCTCTGACTCCTTCATCCTCAAATAATCTTGGTCATTGTAATCATTTTATTAATGGTTCCATCTGTATTTCAAAGAAAGCATTTACAGACATTTTTTAAAACTTCACCATATGTAGGTGGCAGTTATCAAGCAGACTTAACCTTGATCAGGTGTTTTTTGAGAGTATTTTTAGGATATAATTTATACACCATAAACACAAGTGTATAAGTCAATGGTGTTTAGCATAGTCACAAAGTTGTGCACCATCACCATGAAATAATTATGGAACATTTTCACCACCTCAAACAGAAATCCCATATCCATTAGCAGATATTCCCATTCCTGGAACCCTGATTCTGTGGAAACCACTAATCGGCTTCCTATCTCTGAAGATTTACCTACTCTGGTCATTTTGTATAAATGGGATTATATAATATATGGTTTCATACAATTGGCTTCTTTCACTCAGCATGATGTTTTTGAAGTTCACTCATGTTGTAGCACATATCAATATTTCATTTCTTTTTATTGATGACTAGTATGCTATTGTGTGGTTATACACATTTTATCTAGTCATTTGATGAACATTTAGGTTGTTTCTGCTTTTTGGCACTTACGAATTAACATTCATGAACAAGTATTTGTGTGGATGTATGTTTTCATTTCTTTTGGTCACATAACTAGGAGTGGAATTGCTGGGGCATATACCAACTCTCTATTTAACATTTTAAGAATTGCTAAACTGTTTTCCAAAGTAACTGCACCATTTATATTCCCACCAGTAGTGTATGAGGGTTTCAATTTTGGCACATTTTGCCAACATTTGCTATTTTTTTTAGTTTTTGATTGTAGCTATTCTACTAGGTATGAGGTGGCATCTCACTGTGGTTTTAATTTTATTTACCTAATAACTACTGATGTTAAATATCTTTTCATATGCTTATCATAACTTTCTATAACCTCTTTGGAGAATTGGTTACTCAATCTTTTATCTAATTTTAAACTGGGTTATTTGTCTTATTACTGAGTTGTAAGAATTCTGTACGGGGTGGGCAAAAGTAGACAGTTGTGAGTACATAAAGCAGAGTTTATTCTTATATTATTATGTATTAATTATTATACTTATTAGTATTATTATTACTAATCTACTTTTGCCCACTCCTGTATATCCTGGGTACTAGACCTCTGTCAGACTTTGAGTTGCAAATGCCTACATCAGATTTAAGAATAGTGTTGTATGCATTTAAATTTTTAAAATCTTTGAACTAGAGTTAGAATTGTCATTGCAATGGAAACCTTGTCTTGTTTGAGAGCATTTTCTTCCTTTTCTTAAGATACATTACACAGTTTTAGTAGAGTGTTTTCTAAATAAGCACAATTTTTGGAGACACTGGTTTTAAGCTTTTAAAAATGCTAAAATAACAATCTTACACCAGCCACACTACTCTTTTTATTATTACTTAAATTTCATGTCATTTACCAACACACTGAAAAAGCCAGTCCCAAATACAAGAAGTAACCTGACTTCTCCCATCTCTCATGCTGTCGACACCACTACAGAACTGTCTCTGATGGTGCAGGAGGAGCAAGGAGTGGGAGCCGTCACCTTGGGACAGAGCCAGGCAAAGATGCAGTTGGACTGGAATGTGGTGCAGAAATCCAGTGACTTAGGTAATGACTGAGGTGGGGAAGGGAAGGCCACTGAGACCTTGCCATGAAGCAAGACAGCCAGCATGAGACACAGAGGATTATTAAAGATTAAAAAATAACATGTAGGGTGGGTAGGCCCACCAGGGAGAGTTCATATGAGAGAAAGTCGCCCTGGTGGGCACCCTAAGATGTCAGCCTTGGCCTCATTCTGCAGGTCCTTCTGTGGTGGGCCTTATCTCTACACCAGGGATGGGCAAACTGCTGGCTGAGGCCTCTCTGGTCCTGGAGACACACAAAGGCTTTCTGCAGGGGGTCTCACCCATCCTGGTCTCAGATGTCAACTCCGCCTTTCTGAGCAACAAAGACACCGAGGACCTCAGCTCCCCAGTCACTTTCATCTTCTCCCACCACGTGAGTTCTGGTGGGACTGGGCTGTAGGTGTGGAAGGAACCTGAGTCCTGGACACAGTCTTGCTGCTCAGCTCAGGCTAGGGGTTCAAGTGGCTTCCCCCACAGGTGCATCATCTCCCCAGGAAAGTCAGCCTTTCCAGAGTCAGCTTTGAGTCAGCATCTCTGAGCACGAGAACCATTAGCCAGCTCACACCTGTGCCCTATTCCTACAGCCGATGATCCCTGGACCCAGGGAGGAGGTGCTGTGTGTCTTCTGGGATCATGGTCAGGATGGATGTGGTCGCTGGGCCACTAAAGGTTGCAGGATGGTGGACACCAGAAACACCAGCACCACCTGCCTGTGCACCCACCTCAGCAGCTTTGCTGTCCTCATGGCCCAGTATGAAGTGCAGGTGAGATCCCAAACAGCCAGGAGATAGGGATACTTGGAACTGAAAAGACTTGAAAGAGATCCCATCAGAGGGCAACCAGTGAGAGCAGCTGCATCAAGGGCCAAACTCTTTGGCCATATGATATAGTTACTTTCTCTGGGGGATCACCAGGAATTGAGATTCACCCACATGACATAAGGTAATGAAGATCCACATGATGAAAACTCTTTTAGTTAAATGGTCAGGCTGCATGGGCATTCAGAAAAATTCACCTCCCCCCCAAAACAAATATGTTTCTTCCTGCTACTTTGCTATAGAATAGAATACATTGTGTAAGTTTTCTAATTTAATTTTTTATTTTTATTTTTATTATTTAATTTAAATTTTTGAAGATATAAAAATATTAAAAATTGTAAGGTAACAGAAGGGATAACATTGAAGTATTTTCCCCACCCATGTTCCTCAGTGATCAGGGTCCTTCTTAGAAGAAATCTCAGTTTCTTCTGAGCTCTCTTAGAGATATTTTATGTTTAAATAAGCACATACACATAATGTACACTTTTGTTTTCACTCACACCCTTCATACTGTATTCACTCATGCATTTTTTTTTATTCAGAGACAGAAACACCAATATGAGAGAGAAATGATCGGTTGCCTTCCATATGTACCCTGACCAGGGACTGAACCTGCAACTCTTTGGTGTACAGGACAATGCTCCAACCAGCTGGGCCACCCAGCCAGGGTTATTATTCTCACTTAAAGTATTTGAGAGATTCTAAACCAGTATATACCAAATTTTCTCATTTATTTTTATATTTATATAACTTTCTATTCCATGGATGTTGTACACTTTAACAAGTCTAATGATAACCATTTTCTTTTTAGTATTTTACTTCTATGATAGAGTAACATTGCTGGGTTGAATTTGTAGTTGTAATTCTGATAGATATTGCCACATTTCAACACATTTCTGTAGCTTCCCAGTAAATACCTTTAAACTTTTTTCCTTGCAGACAGAATTATTTATTTATTTATTTATATTTTTAAGTTTTTTTTATTGATTATGCTATTACAGTTTTCCCAATTTTTCCCCCTGTATCCTCCCTCTGCACCCCCAACCCTCCAGCATTCCTCCTCCTTAGTACATGTCCATGGGTTGTATATATAAGTTCTTTGAGTTATCTGTTTCATATGCCATTTTTATCTCTCTGCATCTATTTTATGACTATTAATTATGCTTCTTCTTCCCTGTACATTTTCTCCCCTATTCCTCCCTTCCCCCTCCCCACTGAAATCCCTTCATGTGATGTACAGTTCAAATCTGATTCTGTTCCTGTCCTAGTTGTTTGTTTAGTTTTTGTTTTCATTGTTTTTCTTTTCCTTTAGGTTCATTTATTGATAGTTGTGAGTTTGTTGTCATTTTATTGTTCATATTTTTTATCTTCTTTTTCTTAGATAAGTCCCTTTAACATTTCATATAATAAGGGCTTGGTGATGATGAACTCCTTTAACTTGACCTTATCTGGGAAGCACTTTATCTGCCTTTCCATTCTAAATAAAAGTCTTGCTGGATAGAGTAATCTTGGATGTAGGTCCTTGCCTTTCATGACTTCAAATACTTCTTTCCAGCCTCTTCTTGCCTGCAAGGTTTGTTTTGAGAAATCAGGTGATAGTCTTATGGGTGCTTCTTTGTAGGCAACTCTCTCCCTTCCTCTTACTGCTTTTAAGATTCTCTATCTTAATCTTGGGTAACTTAATGATGATGTGCCTTGGTATGTTCCTCTTTGGGTCCAACTTCTTTGGGACTCTCTGGGCTTCCTGGAATTCACGGAATTCTATCTTCTTTGCCAGATTGGGGAAGTTTCCTTCATTATTTGTTCAAATAAGTTTTCAATTTCTTGTTGTTGTTCTTCTCCTTCTGGCACCCCTATAATTCAGATATTGGAACATTTCAAGTTGTCCCAGAGGTTCATAAGTCTCTCTTCACTTTTTAAAATTCTTGTTTCTTCATTATGTTCTGGTTGGATGTTTATTTCTTCCTTTCCTTCCAAATTGTTTCTTTGAGCCCTGGTTTCCTTCCTGTCACTGTTGGTTCATTGAATATTTTGCTTTATTTCATTTTGGGTATCTTTCCTTTGTTTTTCACATTTTTGACCAAGCTCCATCAGTTCTGTGAACATGTTGATTTACAAGGACTTTAAATTCTCCATCAGAGAGCTTGGCTATTTCCTCACTGCTTAGCTCTCTTTCTGAAGCTTTGCTTCGTTCTTTCACTTGGGCCCTATTTCTTTGTCTCAGAGCACCTGCTAAGTTGTAAGGGGGTGGGGCCTTAGGTATTCACCAGGGGAGGGCAACCTGCCTGTTGGGGAGGGGACAGAGAGGGAACAATGCAGTGTACCTGCTCATCTCTAGTGCACTTTCCAACAAACTCTTGTGTGAGACCGGGAGTTTCTCCCACCTCAGCAACCCCTGAGGTAGTCCACAGTCAACTCTGAGTCTCAGTTTCACCTTCAGCCCACCCCACCTACATGGTCTGCTGCTTTGTTGTGTGTTCTTACTGGTCTGGTTGTTCTGGTTGATTTTTTTCTTTAATTCCTTGGTTGTAGGAGTTCCATGCAGTTTGATTTGCTGGCCCTTCTGGCTGCTTATTGATTTTAGATTGGTTGTCATCCTCCTTTTGGTTGTGTGAGGAAATGAAGGGTTTCTATCTACGCCTCCAACTTGGCCAGAACTCCAATACCTTTAACTTTTTCAGTTTGCTAACTGTACTTTCATTTTTGAATATTTCCCCACCCACCCATGCAAGGTGTTTATTTTAAGTGTATAAATTCAACTTTCTTCTATTTTTGAAAAATATGTCTTTAAATCTAATTTACAGATTTTGAGTTTGCTCTCATCGATTTGGTTTTCTTCATTGAAGACTCCAATTATGTATTTTGTGGCTCTCCTTTGCCTAACTCCCATGTTTTGTTCCCTGATTCTTTTTTTTACTCTTTTTAATGTTAATTTTACTATTTATTTTTTCATTCTCATTCTCTATGTTCCTTAAACCAAGTTTCCATCAGAGTTCATTCTTAATACCTCCTTAAATTGTGACTTAATTACTTGTTGGTTTTTTTCCTTTCATTTATTTAATGAGCTTTTCTAATGTACAGTTTCACCAGCCCTCCCTTAATGAGTGAGGTCTTGCATCTTTGCTTTTATTTGTGGGTTATAAAGGCAGTGTTTCCTTACCTATTGTGATTCATGGTCAGTAATGTCACAACTTTCACTTGATCTGTGGTAACAGTTATCTGGTGAGTCTTCCTTCCTTGATTTTTTTTTCCCTTGTAATATTTTCTATAGATATTATGTTTATTCTTTTGATTACTTGTCTAAAAACAGGACTTTTCCTGGAGGAATTATTTCCAAGGTATTTCCGTAAAAACATGGTCAGGGCTATATTACAGAGTATCACAGAGATTTTACGTGGGTTTTGAGATTTATCCAAGCAAACTAAAATGTCAGCAATGAGACTTTTTTGTCACCACTGAGCAACTCGCACAAAGAGCAGAAATTCATTTCTTAATTGACTTTACTGGATTGCAATATATTTGCAATAAAAGCCAGGTGATAACCAAACAGGTCATGAATTTTGATAATAGTAAACACACTGTAACCACGAATGCGACTGAGATGCAGACCCTTTCTCAGGCCTCGCAAAGCCCCTCGTAGAGTCCCAGGCAATGCTCTCATGCCTGCCCTAGGAAAGCAGGGTCTGATCTTTTTCTATTTTTATATAAAACAAGATATTTTTCTTTATTTTTATTATTGACAATATTACAGATGTCCCTATTTCCTCCCTCTTTTCCAACTCCACCCAACCCCCAGCCCTGTATTCCCTCTGGCCATTGCCACACTGCTGTCTGTGTCCGTGGATCATGCTCATAGGTTCTTTGGCTAATCCCTTCCCCTTTATCACCATAGTTTACTTTTGACTGCTCCAGAATCATGCAGTAGAGTAAAATGATTCTCCCTCATGTCTGCTCCTTCTGTTCGTCATAGTGTCTACGAGATTCTCCCTTGTTATATTGTCCGTAACCAGAGTTCATTCATTTTTAATGCTGTATAGCATGCCAATGTATGACCACCCTACAATTTGTTTATCTGTTCTCTAATTACTGGACATTTACATTGCTTCCAGTCTGGGCTGTTATGCATAAAGCTGCTATGAACATTCTTAAACATTCTTTTTATGAACTTTTTCTCATTTCTCTTGGATAAACTCTCAAATATGGAATTTATGGGTCATATAATACATGTATGTTTATAAGAAACCACAAAAATCCACTCCAGAAGAGGTTACCTCTTACATTCTCACTCAGCAGTGTATGAGAGATCCAGTCACTCCATTTTGCCCACACTTGTCACCATTTTTTGTTTGTTTTGTCATTCTAATCTGTGTACTTTGAAAAACACAACTGTACCCCAGAGCAGAAAAATGTGACTGAGATCTCTTTGCTGGGTCCCAGGAGGAGGATCCCGTCCTGGCTGTAATCACCCACATAGGGCTGAGCCTCTCTCTGCTGTGCCTCTTCCTGGCAGCCCTCACCTTCCTGCTGTGCAAAGCCATCCAGAACACCAGCACCTCCCTCCACTTGCAGCTCTGCATCTGCCTCTTCCTGGCCCACATGCTCTTCCTCACGGCCATTGACAGAACAGAGATTAAGGTACTGACATCCCCAAGGACCCTTGTCCTGCCCAGGAGATGTAGAGTTCATGTGGCCATGCTGCATTGGATGCCTTAATAAAATGTCCTTGGGTTCTGGGAAGGTTAGAGTTGTGAGTAGCCAATTTCACATTGACTGATGCAACGGGATGACAGATCCTCTCTCGACAATTCCTTCATAAACAGAGTTCTCTTTGAGGTATAGGACAGGTCCTAAGTCCATACTCCACCCTGACAATCCCATCTGGTGACTCTGACTTCTCCCCCAGGTGCTGTGCGCCATCATCGCGGGTGCCTTACACTACCTCTACCTGGCCTCCTTCACCTGGATGCTGCTTGAGGGCCTGCACCTCTTCCTCACTGCACGCAACCTGATGGTGGTCAACTACTCCAGTGTGAGCAGATTCATGAAGAAGTTCATGTTCCCTGTGGGTTATGGAGTCCCGGCTGTCATTGTGGCTATTTCTGCAGTGTCCCGGCCTCAACTTTATGGAGCATCTGCCCGGTAAATTAAAGTTCACACTAGTCTCATCTTACCTACATGAATGGTCATCTTCTCCAGATGAATAACCAGCAGAGAACCAATGTAGCACTATTATTTCATGAGAACATGAAAAACAGAGGAAAACTCAGTAATCACCTGCAGATGTCTTTTTGGTAGAAGACTGTGGTCATTAAAGTAGCTGTTTTTATGTCCTAGAGATTTAATTGTCTTAAATGTTAATTACATTGTATATAAATAATTATATATTTATATAGTATTAATTGTGTGTAATACTAATAATATACTAACATATTGATTATTAATAATTATAAATTAATATGTAGTTCAAATGATTGAAGTGACTATTTTTTATCTTTTAGATTTAATTATGAATAACAATTATATATTATATTAATAACTACTTATTGGTATAATATTAATTCTACCTTGTAATTAGTGAATATATATGAATATCATTCATTGCATTAATTGATGAGACTGAGTTTTTGTTTTTTGTTTTTTTATTTTAATATATTTAATTGATTATGCTACTGGAGTTGTCCTATTCCTCCCCTTTATTCCCTCCACCCTGCACACCCCCTCCCACCCACATTCCCCCACTTTAGTTCATGTCCATGGGTTTCACAAAGAAGTTCTTTTGCTTCTACATTTCCTACACTATTCTTAACCTCCCCCTGTCTATTTTCTACCTACCATTTGTGCTACTTATTCCCTGTACCTTTTCCCCCCTCTCCCCTTCCCACTCCCCCACTGATAATGCTCCATGTGATCTCCATCTCTGTGAATCTGTTCCTGTTCTACTTGTTTGCTTGCTTTGTTTTGTTTTTTAAAATTTGATTATTAATAGCTGTGAGCTTGTTGTCATTTTATTGTTCAGAGTTTTGATCTTCTTTTTCTTAGACAAGTCCCTTTAACATTTCATACAATAAAGGCTTGGTGATGATGAACTCCTTTAACTTGACCTTATCTGGGAAGCACTTTATCTGCTCATCCATTCTAAATGATAGCGTTGCTGGATAGAATATCTTGGATGTAGGTCCTTGCCTTTCATGACTTGGAATACTTCTTTCCAGCCCTTTCTTGCCTATAAGGTCTCTTTAGAGAAATCAGCTGATAGTCTTATGGGAACTCCTTTGTAAGTAACTGTTTCCTTTTCTCTTGCTGCTTTTAAGATTCTCTCCTTATCTTTAATCTTGGCTAATGTAATTATGATGTGCCTTGGCGTGTTCCTCCTAGGGTCCAGCTTCTATGGGAGTCTTTGAGCTTCCTGGACTTCATGGAAGCATGTTTCCTTCACCAGACTGGGGAAGTTCTTCTTTATTATTTTTTCAAATAAGTTTTCAATTTCTTGGTCTTCCTCTTCTCCTTCTGGTACCCCTATGATTCTGATGTTGGAACATGTAAAGATGTCCTGAAGGTTCTTAAGCCTCTCTTCATTTTTTAAAATTCTTGTTTCTTCATTCTGTTCTGGTTGAATGTTTCTTTTTTCCTTCTTGTCCAAACCACTTATTTGAGTCCTGGTTTCCTTCCCATCACTGTTGGTTCCCTGTAGATTTTGCTTTATTCCACATAATGCAACATTCATTGCTGCCTGGGCCTTTTTTATGCTGTTAAAGTACCCAGTGAGTTCCTGGAGCATCTTGGTTACCAGTGTTTTGAACTGTGCATCTGATAGGTTGGGTATCTCTTCATTGCTTAGTTGTATTTTTCCTCAAGCTTTGATCTGTTCTTTCATTTGGGCCATTTTTTTTTTTTGTCTTGGCATGCCTGTTACATAGTAAGAGGCAGAGGCTTAGGTGTTCACCAGGGAGGGACAACCCACATCACTGAGTTCCTGTATGTGGAGGAAGGGTCCTGTATGTGGGGGAGGGGTCCAAGAGGGAATAGTGTCGCTTGCTCTGCTCTCTGCCGGTTATCAGTCAGTTCCCCTGCTACCCACAATCAAATTGAACCCTTCCGGTGCTGATTCCTGTGTGGGTGAGTTTGTGTACATTCTGGGACCCTGTGGGTCTCCCCAACAAACTCTCCTATGAGGCTGGGAGTTTCTCCCGCTGCTGCCTCCACCCCCATGGGTGTTTTCAGTCAGACGTTTTCAGGCTTTATTTCCCCCTACTGGAACCCTGGATTGTGTGGTCTATCTTGCTCCCCAGTTGTTCCTCCTGGTTTATCTGCATGCAAATGTGGGACTACCCGGTTTGCCATCCATCACCTTGCCTGGTCCACCAGCTACCACCTTTTCCTCCCTAGTCTTCCAGCAGCTGCCTTACTGTGAGTCTTCTTCACCCAGCTGCCCATCTCTGCTCCTCCTGCTGGTCTGGATAAATTTTTCTTCTTGAACTCCTTGGTTGTCAGACTTCCATACAGTTCAATTTTCTGTCAGTTCTGGTTGTTTTTTGTTTTTAGATTTGTTGTTGTCCTTCTTTTGGTTGTGTGAGGAGGCACAGTGTGTCTAACTATGTCTCCATCTTGGCCAAAAGTCAGAGACTGAGTTTTTTGTTTTATTTATTTATTTAAGTATAGTTGGTATACAATATTATATTAAATATATTAGTTTCAGGTGTACAATATAGTGATTTGACATTTTTGTACCTTACAATATGATCACCCCACTAATTCTACTAATTGTCTGTCATCACACAAATTTGTAACAATATTATTGACCATATTCCCCTTCACCACTGAAGGGGCTGTTTCAAAACTTCTAGAAAGCAAAATTGAATGAAAGAATGGCATGGGTATGTGTAACCCACTTCCCCTAATTCTAGAAGAAATGGAAGATGATTTCAATGAGGAAGTCATTATTACTCAAACTAATATTTATAAATGAAACTGATATTTATAAATTAATATCTATATACTTATGAAATGCAATCGCTGTTTTAATATGTTTTATGTATAAACTCAAATCATCCTCCCAACAACCTTCTGAGGTGGAAACTAGTGAAATGTGAGTTTTACAGATGAGGAAACTGAGGCACAAAGATGACTGGCCATGGTCATACAACTCAGCTTGTTGGTGGCAGAGCTGGAACCAAACCCAGGCAGTCTGGCACTCACAACATACTCTCATGCTGACAGAATGAATGAAGGTTCACCTCCATCAGACAAGGCCTGACCAACTGGCCTTCCTACACATCTTAGCATAAAAGTCAGCAACTTTTCCTATAAATGGCAAAAGACTACATCTTTTCAGCTTTGTGGCCATATAATCTCTATTGCAACTACTCAGTTCTGCTCTGGTAACATGAAAGCAGCCACAGACAATATGAAAATGAATGAGTATAGCTGTTCCAGTAAAACACATTTACAAAATCAGGTGATAGCTGAAGTTGTCCCACAGGGCACAATTTGCCAACAGTGCCTTAGTAGTGTTTGTTTTTAGTTTTCTGGTGGATCCATATAACTCCATGGTCCTCGCACCTCCCAACTCATTCTCAAGCATCTCACTTGGCCTTGAATTACAGACTGTGTTTCCTTGAGCATCAGATGCCTGACCTGTCATTATCTGAATCTGTATGTTGTCCTAAGAAATAAATTATGGGATGTACGTGAGCCGTGCTTTAGTGCTCTGTCAGGTCACAGTCATCATCTTTTTTTACCATCATCTTACATGTCCCAGACTTTCTCACCTTCTTTATACCTGCTCATATTTTATATCTCAAAATAAACAGAATAAGTTCTCTCAGGGTCCTTCCTTACTAACCTCCTATACCCCAGACTAGGCTACTGATCCAGCTATGTGTTCTCATAGCTCTTCACACTTGATCAAAAAACTCATCATCTTGATTGTTTCTATTGTGTAATTGGTAACCTTCCTACCCAGCTGGGGCCTCCCTGAGGACTGAGACCAGCCTATCTTTTTTAATACTCACCTGAGGATATTTATTGATGAGATAGATAGTTACATAGATAGATAGATAGATAGATAGATAGATAGATAGATAGATAGATAGATGATAGATAGAGAGATGTGAGAGAAAAACATGGATCTGTTGCCTCCCATACACGCCTCACTGGGGATCAAACCCATAACCTAGGTATGTGCCCTGACTGGGAAATCAAACCCACAATCTTTTGGTGTACAGGATGATGCTCCAACCAACTGAGCCATGTGCAAAGGCTGAGACCAGTCTATCTTAATTGCAATTGGATCTTCAGACCAAGCAGAGGTCCTGGTTCAGAGGAGACACAATATTTGCCCAATAAACCATAATTTTTTAAAATTGAATTTATTGGGGCAACACTAGTGAATAAAACCATACAGGTTTCAAGTGTACATCTCAATAAAACATCATCTGTACACTGCATTGTGTACTCACTACCCAAAGTCAAGTCTCTTTCTTCCACCATTTATTTTCCCTTTGCCCACTTCTACTCCCCCTCCCCCCTTTCCCTCTGCTATCACAATACTGTTGTCTGTATCTATGTGTCAAAATATATATATTTTGCAGCCCTGGCTGGTGTAGCTCAGTGGATTGAGTGCGGGCTGTGAACCAAAATGTCGCAGGTTCGATTCCCAGTCAGGGTACAAGCCTGGGTTGCAGGCCATGACCCCCAGCAACTGCACATTGATGTTTCTCTCTCTCTCTCTTTCTCCCTCCCTTCCCTCTCTAAAAATAAATAAATAAAAAATCTTTAATATATATATATATATATTTTTTTGCTAATCCCTTACCTTTTTTCACCCAGTCCCCCAGTACCCCTCCCCTCTGATAGCTCTCAGTGTGTTCTATATATCTATGATTCTGTTTTTATTAACCATAAATTAATTTGCTGCTTCTATTTATTTCTGCAAGCATTTTGGGGGCCCAAAACTTAGCAGAGATTTTTAAAAAGAATTTAAAATTTTAAAAACCACTTTATTAAGGTTAGGTGTTTGATGTGTAAAAAGTTGTGCATGTTTAATGTCTACAATCTGATGAGTTTGGGTATAAGTATAAACCCATGAAACCATCACCACCATCAAAGGAATAAAAAGGTATCAATATGAAAGATAAATAAGTTTGGGAGATCTGTAGACCATACACAGATTTGTAGTATCTATAGCTAACAAATTGTATTGAATACTTATAATTTACTAAGAGGGCAGATCTCAAAATGTTCTTACCCACACCCAAACACAAATAATAATAAGGAGTCACAGAGAAACTATGGGAAGTGAGGGATATGTTTATTTATTGATTGTTTACCCACAAAGGCAAACAGATTATTCAATTTCTTTCCATCTCCCTCTTAGATGCTGGCTCCATGCACAACAGGGATTTGTATGGACTTTCCTTGGCCCTGTCTGCATCATCATCTCTGTGAGTAAAGGATGGCATCAGAGAATCCCTTCTACTCAGCTAAGGGTCAATCAAAGGGCAGGTATATAAGGAGGGCTATAGGCAAGGTGAACAATCAATCAGTTTCTCCAGGACTGAGGGGGCTCCCAGGAGGTACAGTTACAGTTTTGAATCAGGACAGATTGGATTTCTAAGACATTGGACTTTTGGTGCTAAAACTCAGAAAATTGGGATGACTTGGTCACCCCAATTAATGGACAAGAATGTGCCTGAGTTAACTTCTTTTGGGATATGGTTTTCTATGACTGCTATGAAATACAAAAGCTTCTTACCTGCTGGGTTAGGTGTTCAATGAGCTAGGAGGAAGCTATACACATGTGGCATGTATTCAATTTGCCTTGTGGGGTTTCTGCAGATTAACTGGGCTTTCTTTCTGATGACCATCTGGATTCTTAAAAACAAGCTCTCCTCACTCAACAGTGATGTGTCCACCCTCCAGAACACGAGGTGAGATGGGTCAGAGGGGCACACTGCCCCACACAAAGCAGGGTTCAGGAGCAAGGCCCTGCGGTTCCAAGCTCCTGGTGTCCTTTCATAGGGATTCTGAGGGGGCGGGAGGAGAAAGGCAGCCACCCTCCCTGGAAACCTGCTCAGATACTGTGCTTTGCTAACAAATGCAAGCCAGAAACTTTTTATTTCTTCGTAAGTCCAGCATGAAATTACCTAGTTACAGAGATATTGACTTCATTCTGTTAAATGTGGATTACTTCCATGGCCCTATGAAAATATCCAAAAAACATTTACATCTTTATAAAACTCGTAGGAAATCACCTACCTGTTCCCAGAACCCAGCACTCAACTTCATGCCCACACCTTCATGGAGCCTCTTTCCTCTGTCCTCTTCACTCCTACACCTGCTAAAATCAGGTTCTTTACGCACATACCACATCTTCTGAAAGGCTTGGGATGTCCTTTGCTTTCCCCAACTTTACACAGAATGAATGGTCTCTATTCTGAGCAAAACATACCTGGGGGTAGCTCATGAAGAGAGAGAAGACAGGACCAGTACTGGATGGGACCCAGGCAGAGGTACTTTACACATCACAAATATTATAAGTGGCCATTTCTTCTATGAAACTGCAAGGTCTGTGAAGACAGAAATTGTCTTTCATATTTTTTAAACCCAAGACCCAGCACAGAGTCAGGTACATAGAACATCGTCAGTAATGTCAGTTGAATGAAGTTGGGGGCATTCATAATACATCATGATCATTTTGAAACCCATATTATGAATTATCACTACTTCAGTCCAAGTCAAAATACCATCACAGTTCCTAATTGCATTTTTTTAGAGAATCATTGAGAGTAAAATCAAAGTGGGTCACAATTCAGTCACATGCATCCATGGGGTGGAGATGAGAGTGGCCTTTATTCTGTTGCTCTGGGTGCACCATGGGCTGCCCTTCTCCTTCTACCCAGGATGCTGACATTTAAAGCAATGGCCCAGCTCTTCATCTTGGGCTGCACGTGGTGTCTGGGAGTCCTGCAGCTGGGCTCAGCTGCCCGTGCCATGGCCTATCTCTTCACCATCATCAACAGCCTGCAGGGCGTCTTCATCTTCCTGGTGTACTGTCTCCTCAGCCAGCAGGTACCACAATCTGACTTCCACCCAGCACCCTTTCTATTCTCAGTCCTCTCAGTGAGCTGACTCAGAGCATGCTTTGCCTCTGCAGGTCCGGGAACAATACTGGCAATGGTTGAAAGGGGCCAGGAAAACAAAAGCAGACTCTGAGAAGTACACCCTCTCCAGCAGGGCTATGTCAGATGACCCTAAACACAGTTTGGTAAGATCACTCATCGCTCCCAGAGCACCTCACTAACTGATTGCATTGAGCTTTCATGCCCATCATACTAGACAACTCAGGTATACAGCAGGGGATTCCCTAAAGTAGCCCACACTGGGTTTACTCCTAGACTCACTCAAAAACATTTTCCTGTTATGAATGGAACTCTTCCCCTACTATCACTCACTGTGTTTCTATGCTCATCTTAACCCTTGCAAACAACTATGTTCTCATTCCCCATGTGTGTAGAGCACCCACTTTGTGTGACATGGTGCATGTTATTCTTAATCTTACTGAGTGAGAAGACACAAAAAACTTCGTCATAGGCAGAGAAAATCTACAGTCAATGAGCAGGAACTAGTGATATGAAGCTGTGATGTTCAAAGTGGACAGTCACAGCACCACCCTTTGTCCCAAGTCATTCCATGCTGCTCTCTATATGAAGACAACAAACGCATGGTACATGTCATCATAAAAGTTAATAAAATAAGTATTAAGTTGGATTTGACTTTCTTTAAAAGTCTGCAATCATTCCTGTTACTATCAGCACATACATACCTGGGAAAATCAGGGAGGATAATTACAGAGGGCAGAGGAGAGATCCTGGCAGTGTGAATCCTACCAAGCATTTTTATGTTTGGGTTTACAAAACTATTTTCATATTTTTTCTTCATATATATTTGCATTTGCACTTGAAGGTAAGTGTTATGTTTCCTCTTGTAGATGAGGGAAATGAGGCCAATGGGGTTCATATGAATTGTGCAAAGACTTCAACTTTCCTCAACTTCCATGTACCCACCACACTGCCTGGCAAGCCTTCTGCATTTTTCTCGGCTTCCATATTCACCCTCCAAAACTACTTCCCAAACTCCCTACTCCTCCAAAGTCTCATTCGTCTAACTCCTTCCTTTTCCTACCAGATGTTCCTACCAGCTTCTTCACAGAGATAATACAAGTCAGCAGGGTGAAACAAGGTCAACTTTGTGCTCTGAAAAACACCAGCTATTTGACATCTGGTTCATTCTCTTCTTATTCCATTTTATTACCACAGAGAAGATGTGCTTCCTATTTTTTAAAGCAAATTCTTCAACATGTACTTTGCTTCTCAACCCTCCTGACTTCTCAGTAAATTTATATTATTGCTTTTTCAATAATATGAATATAATAAATAAATATAATAATAAATATAATAGAGATTTCTGTCTATTTTAATCAGTCTCATGTTCTAACAGCACTGTTTTTACTTTAATTGCAACATGCTCTCCCATAATAAATTATTAATTGATTCCTCTCTCTTCTGCTACACACTCAGAAATGGATTTGATCTTTATTATTCCACCCAAAGACCTCTCTCTTAAGCCTCCAGTAATCTCCACTTGGTCCTCTTAGCAGTATTCAATGCTTTGGTTCCTGCCTCCATTTTAAATACTACTCTTGTGTTCCTGACTCCCATGTCTCAACACCTCCCAGAACTATTGCTATCTCTCTAGCTGACCTTTCTTTATCTCCTTTGTATTTCAACCACACTATCTGTCTTGGTTCTGAAAGCATTTCTATTTTAATTTAAACCCTCCTCACAGGCAGTTTTGTCCATAAGGACTTAATGTATCCTGCAGAAAGAAAGAATGGCCAAATTTTTTTCTTTAGCACTAAATTACCTATGAGCTCCAGACCACTATATTTTTCAGTCGCCTACTTCACAACTCTACTTAGGTATCTCAGAAGCAGTCCAACAAGGTCATAAACAAGCATCATTTTTCACCAACACAATCCTCTTTGGGATTTCACATCTCAAATGCATCTCTCTTCTTGCACCTGGAACATCAGGGACTTGAAGCATCTTTGACATTATCCTGTCCCTACTATGCTCCATTCCAAACCAATCCATTGCTAAATCAGCCTACAATTTCCTTTTCACTATATCACAAATTGGTCTTATTGACACCATCTCTATCACCTTCTCCCTAATTTCAGCTGACATCTTTCCTTGGCTAGATTGCAATGTCTTCCTAATGGGTCTCCCTATATATTCTTCTCCTACCTCCAATAGTTTTCCACATAACAATGGTTTCCCATTGCCCCTAGGAACAATACCAAAGTATACGAGGGTTCTGATTTCCTCCACATTCTCCCAAAACTTGTTAATATTTGTCTCTCTTATTCCTTAGGGTATGTGAAATAGTTTTTCATTTTGCTTTTGATTTTCATTCCCTCATGTCTAATGATGCTTAGCATCTTTTCATGTGGTTATTATCTATTTGCATATTTTCTTTGGGGAAATATCTAGTTGAATCCTTGCCAATCTTTTATTGAACCATTTTCCTTTCATCAATAGGTTGTAAGAATGCTATATATGTCTGAATACAAGTCCCTTGTCAGATACACAATTTTCAGTTATTTTCTCCCATTCTGTAGTTTTACCTTTACTCTCTTGAAAATGTCCATTGATACACAAAATTTGTTAATTTTGATGAAGACCAAGTTATCTATATTTTTATTCACTTGTGCTTTGGGTATCATATCTAAAAAAAGATTGTTTAATATGAGGTCAAAAAGGTTTAAATACTTTTTCCCCAAGACTTTTATAGTTTTAGTTATCATGTTTATGTATTTGATTTATCTGGAATTTTTTGAATGTTGTGAGGTTTTTAATATGACATGAGATGCACATTCTTTTACATATGGATATTCAGTGGTCCTGTCACCATTTATTGAAAAGATTGTTCTTTCCCCCAGTGAATTGCCTTGATATCTTATCAAAATTAATTCACTGTAAATGTAAGGGTTTACTTCTGGACCCCTGATTCTCTTCCATCATCTATTCTTGATTAGAGTAGCTTTGGAACAAGTTCAAAATTGGAGAATTGATTCTACGGATTTGTTCTTATTTTTCAGGATTGTTTCAGCTAGTTTGTGCCCCTTGAAGCTCCATATGAGTTTCAAGCTGTGCTTGTTAGTTTCTGAAAAGTATTTAACTGAGATATTAAAAAGGATTGTGTTGAAGCTGTAGGTCAGTTGGGGGGGATATTGCCATCTTAACTATATTAAGTCTTCTGATTCGTGAACATGAGTTATTTTTCTACTTCTTTAGGTTATTTCACTTCTTTTGACAATGTTTTATAGGTTTCTGTGTACAATAAGTCTTAACACTTTTTAACCCTATCATTGTTACACTTTTCTTTTCAGGAAGAATTATAACAAACAGCTAAAGTTGATGATCTTGACTCCTAGAATATGAGGAAAATTATGAACTGTAATACTTTGGGCAAAGTATATAGAAAATATTTTTTTGTGTTTGTTTCAAGTAACTTTTCTTGGCATCATTATAGGAGGGCATATGCAGGAAATGTTTGACATTCAGTTGCTGGAAAATTGGGATTTTCTGGTCCACACAGCATGCTCAGCTCACTCCCATAATAGTCAGGGAGCTTTGACCCAGTTCCTCAGTTGCCTTAGATTAATCCCTCTGCACCAACCATTCTTCTACAAAGGTGTCCCTCAAGTTGAAGATATTTAATAAGGAAAATTCAAATGGCTTTTTAAAAATAGCATAAAAGAGAAAAGTAATGTTCAAATACCTGCACATAGGGCAAACAACTAATCCCAGTTCTTCAAGACTTCCCAGTTTTAGAATCAATAGTCCTATGTCCTAAGAAACACCTGAGTTACAGGCAACTAGCACGGTTGGTCTCCCTACCTGCTTGCCTCAATTTATCCACTCTTCATTTCTAAAGACTTACTAATTTATTCACTCAAAAATTATATTTTTATTACTCACCATGTGTTGCATTCAGATTACAACAGATCTAATTTCTGATTTCACAAAGCTTACATTAAAAAAACTCAATAGAGTAAAACCGTTAATAGAATACCTACATCTTTATAATTTATAATGTAGTCTGTAGTAAAAGGCATGTATTGCTACTGCACATTTTGTAACATGTATTTATACAAATCATATCATTTCATCCTCAGAATGTGAGCTAGGCAAGATCTAAATCTAGAGCAGTTACACCTAAAAGAAATTCCCTATGGGACCCCATTGCCCAAATCTCCACCAATTGAACATCAAAAAAAGTACTGTAAATGATTACAACATATTAAATAAAAATGCATGATACCTAAAATATCAGCCTGTAAATGTAGAAGATATGCCAGAATAAGAACAATTATGATTTTTTTCAATATTCAGTATGGCCACTAAAAGCATAGGGTATATAACAAACTAATTAGCCTGGACTCTTCTAAAGGTATCATTTTAAAATGCAATATACAGATGATGTATTATAGAATTATACACTTGAAACCTATATAATTTTATTAATTAATTCCACCCAATAAATTTAATTTTTAAAAGTGGCTAGAGGCTGATCTAGATTAAAAGAGACAAAAGGGATATAAAATAAAATTCAATGTCAATTTTGGTGAGACTCTGGTTCATGTATATAGTTAAAAACGACATTTTGGAAACTATTGGAATAATTGGAATATGTATTGTACATTAGAAGTTATTATAAAATTGTTAATTTTCTTGAGTATAATAATAGCATTTTGGTTATGTAGGAAATATCCTTTAAATGTTTTAATATTTGTTGAAGAATTATTAAAGTGTCATAATGTCACCCAATGAGCATAAATGCTTTAAGAGACATTGAAATAAATAAAGAACAAACTGACAGTAACCAGAGGGGAGGGAGGAGGGGGATAGTGAGGGGAGAAAGGGGAAGGATTGTCAAGGAACATGTATAAAGGGCACATGGACAAAGCCAAATGGGGGTAGGATCAAGGGTGGGAGGTGGGGATGGGTCGGGTAGGGCAGAGTGGTGTGAATAAAATGGGGACAACTGTGCTTGAACAACAATAAAAAAAGTAAAAGAAAGTATGTATGTATGTATATAAATTGAGAAAAATTTTAATATGGTAATATGTTGATAATTGTTGAATCTAGATGGAGAAAATAAAAGTATTTATTGTCACCATTCTTCTAAATTCTCTCTATGTTTAAATATGGTAAAATAAAAAGATGTGCCAAAAATAAATGAATAAATAAGTTATTAATTCATTAAAGTAATACCCTCATAAATTCCTAGATGTATGTATCAAATGCTTTTACTCTGCATAAATTATATAATAGATATTTTATAAAATTATGAATTCACATGACTATAAGCTGATGGATTTAAAGTAAAAATAAAATTATTAAATTATTAGAAGATAATAGAGGGAAATCCCTATTTCTGCCTGGGAGATAAAAGTGGAAATGAATATCTCTCCCAACCTAACAATAAGAAAAATTCACATTAACAACAAAATCATTATTATTCTTGAACCTGTAGGAGAACTAAGGGAACAGTAACCAAAAATCTAGGAAGATAGGCTCATCCAAGGAGAGACCATCAGGAGCACTGAATCAACTATAGCAGAGCATAGAAGGGAGAAATCTGGATGCTAGACAAATAGTTAAAAGGAATTCACCTACATTTTTAATGAATTGCTTAGGGCCCAGTGGGAAATCAGATAGTACAGAGTCTCTGAGGGAATGGAAGAAATGTGGAGAGATCCCCTCTGAGATGCAGCCACACTGGGAAAGTTTACATCTGAAGGTGGGGCAATGAGAAAAAAAAAACCCTCTATCAAAGTAGCCCCAACACAAGCACAAGATAACAAGGTCACACGAGAACAAAATGAAAGCCAGGGTGAAATATCTCTCACTAGGTAGATTCAAACTCCCTCAAAAGCAGTCTAACAGAAGAATAGCTATGCCTATTGCCAGTAGCATTTAACCAAAAATTATAAAACATAAGCAAAAGCAAGAGTAAGGAACATGAAGAAATCGATAGAACCAGACTTAAATGAACAGACACTGAATTTTAAATAACTATGATTAGTATGTAAAAGGCTCTAAAGCAGTGCTCACCTGGGGGACAATCTTGTCCCAGGAAATATTTGGCAGTTTCTGGAGACATCTTTTGTTATACAACTGGATGGGTACCAACTGGCATGTAGTGAGTGAAGGCAAGGGATTTTGTTCAACACTCTACAATGCACAGGACAGCCACAGTTAAAGATTTATACAGCCTCCAAATGTCAATAATGCTGAGCCTGAGAAACTCTGTTCTAAATTCCCTTACATTATACAGATGCTAAAAACAGGTGTCTTCCTTTTCACTATAGAAACAGGAAAGTTTCTATAACAACATGTAAGATAGAAAGAGAGAGTAGCCCTGGCCAGTGTGGCTCAGTGGGTTGAGTGCCGGCCTGCAAACCGAAAGGTCACTGGTTCAATTCCTGGTCAGGGCACATGCCTGAGTTGTAGGCCAGGTCCCTGGTTGTGAGTGTCAGAGAAGCAACCAATTGATCTTTCTCTCATACATCAATGTTTTCCTCCCTCTTTTCCCCCCTCTCTAAAAAATTAAAAATTAAAAAAAATTAAGGAGAAAGTACACTTCAACGTGAAATTTTATGTTCTTTTCTGTTACCCCCAAGGTTAAGAAAACCTGTTTTACTGAGGAAAGTGGACATTATGAACATATGGCAAACTTCAAAAGAAAATAGAGGCCACAATTTAAAATTTCATTAATAACATTCTTTTAATCAAAATCCAAAGTCAAAGAAAAAGATTTATGAGATTTACTACTTAAATGAAAGTATCTAGGTGATAAGACACCATTTTAAAAAGTCTGTAGTGACAGAAGATGAGATGGCTTTCAGTGATGGGCACACATGCAATATACAAATTATGTGTCATAGAAGTGTACTCATATACTCAAAACCTATGTAATCTTATTAATCAATGTCACTGTAATAAATGGTGGGGTGAAAATGGAGACAATTGTACTTGAACAACAACAAAAAATTTAAATAAAAAATTTTAAGTCTGAAGGTAAAATATTTGCTTGTTAGTAAGAGATTCATCATCACTTCTCAGCTTTTTGACTAAGATCAAGTGTAATAAGAGATTCATATCTTCATCATACAAAGAAATTCTTAAATTCAATGACAAACTTATGATAAAATATTGGAATAGTATAACAGAGTAGTCCTTCCCATTTCCTGATTCTCCAGTTACTTTCCAAGCTCTACATTCTTTCAGTTTCTCACATCTGCCATTCATGGAACTTGAATTTTCTGAGTTCTCAGAATCCCAAATGGCTAAACTTTGGATTCCTGGACAACAGATACCACAATTTCAATTCTTTTCTTTTTAATACTTTTTTTATTGTTGTTCAAGTACAGTTGTCTCCATTTTCTTCCCACCACTCTCCCCCACCCCAAACATCCCCACTTTCCACCCTTGATTCTACCCCCTTTTGGTTTTGTCTGTGTGTCCTTTATAGATGTTCCTGAGAATCCTTCTTCCCCCTCCCCCTCCATTATCCCCTTCCATTTCTCCTCTGTCAGTTTTGTTACTGTCAGTTTGCAAACTCTGTCAGTTTGCAAACTCTCCATTTTGCAAACTCTGTCAGTTTTGTTACTGTCAGTTTGTTCTTAATTTCAGTGTTTCTGGTTATACTTTGCTTGCTTGTTTGTTTTGTTGATTAGGTTCCACTTACAGATGAAATCATGTGGTATTTGTCTTTCACCACCTGGCTTATTTTACTTAGCATAATGCTCTCCAGTTCCATCTATGCTGTTGCAAAGGGTAAAAGTTCTTTCTTTTTCTCTGCTGCATAGAATTCCATTGTATAAATGTACCATAGTTTTTTGATCTACTCATTTACTGATGGGCACTTAGGTTGCTTCCAGCACTTGGCTTTTGTGAATTGTGCTGCTATGAACATTGTGGTGCATAGGTTCTTTTGGATTGATGTTTCAGGGTTCCTAGGGTATAATCCCAGCAGTAGAATTGCTGGGTCAAAAGGCAGATCCATTTTTAGTTTCCTGAGGAAATTCCATACTGTTTTCCACAGTGGCTACACAAGTCTGCATTCCCACCAACAGTGCTTTAAGGCTCCCCTTTTTCCACACCCTTGCCTGCACTTGTTTGTTAATTTATGAAGGCCCTTCTGATGGGTGTGAAATGGTATCTCATTGTGGTTTTAATTTGCAAGTCCCTGATGGCTAGTAATGCTGAGCATCCTTTCATATGTCTCTGGGCTCTCTGTACATCTTCCTTGGAGAAGTGTCTGTTCAGGTGTTTTGCCCATTTTCTAATTGAATTTTTTGCCTTCCTGGAGTTAGTTGTAGGAATTCTTTATTTATTTTGGAGATCAGTATGAAGTATTGTTGGCAAATATATTTTCACATATGGTTAGTTCCCTTTTCATTTTGCTGATGTTTTCTTTAACCATACAGAAGCTTTTTAATTTGATGTAGTCCCATTTGTTTATCTTTTCCTTTATTTGCCTTGCCCTAGATGTATCAGCAAAAATATTGCTGCATCGAATATTTGAAACTTTACTGCCTATGTTTTCCTCTAGGACTTTTATGGTGTCTCAGCTTATATTTTTGTGTTTTTATCCATTCTGAGTTTATTCTAGTATATGGTGTAAATTAGTGGTGTAGTCTAACATTTTTGCATGTACCAGTCTAGCTCTCCCAGCAGAATTTGTTGAAGAGCCTATTTTTACTTCATTTTATGCTTCTTCTCTCTTTGTCTAATATTAATTGACCATAGCGACATGGGCTTTCTATTCTGTTCCATTGATCTCTGTGTCTGTTCTTGTGCCAGTACCAGACTGTTTTGATTAGAATGGACTTGTAGTATATTTTTGTATTAGGTATTGTGATCCTTCCTACTTTGTTCTTCTTTCTCAAGATTGCTATGGCTATTCAGGTCATTTTCGGTTCCATAATTTTTGAAATATTTGTTCTAAATCTGTGAAGTATGTCATTGGTATTTTATGGATATTGCATTGAATCTATAGATTGCTTTGGGTAGTATGGATATTTTTATGATGTTGATTGTTCCAGTCCATGAACATGGTATATGTTTCCATTTGTTTGTGTCTTCCTCAATTCTACAGTGCTGCATAGTTTTCTTAGAACAGGTCTTTTACCTCCTTGGTTAGGTTTATTCCTAGATACTTTATTTTTCTTGTTGCTATAGTAAATGGGAATTTTTTCCTAGTTTCTATTTCTGATATTTCATTGTTGGTGTATAAAAATGCCTTCAATTTCTGAATATTGACTTTGTATCCTGATATTTTGCCAAATTCACTTATTAGGTTGAGTAGTTTTCTGGTGGAGCTTATAGGCTTTTCTATGCACACTATCATGTCATCACTGGCAAACAATGACAGTCCCATTTAAATTTCTAAAACAAAACTTCAACAGTAGCTAGAAACATTAATACAAGAATGTATAAGCTTAGAAAGAATTTTTATCAGGGACCTAAAATGATAGACATGGGAATCTAGCTTTATTTAGCATGTTAAATTACATGGGAAGCATTGTCAAATAAACATTGATTATAAACTTTAGTTATATGTATATGGATGTTACTGATATAGGTAATCTAGAAATTGAAGCTCATACACATTTGTCAATATTGTCATTGTCTAGTTGTTAATTATTATATGCCATGAAAATAAATAAATTTTCTTAATAAAGGGGAAAAAAGAAATTCACAAAGTCCTCAAGGACAATACTATAAAGTGTAACTGAAAAAAATCATAACCTACATAAAGAGAATTATACTGAAGTGATAGAAAATGTTAATGTTGTAAGAAACTATTAACTCCACATAAATCTACACTGTAAGTGCAATCACAGTGAAAGTCCCAAGACATTTTTTACAGAACTTAGTAAACTATCTACAAGGTTATACTGAAGAAAAATGTGAAAGGAGAGACAGAACAGTTGTAAACAATAATAAGTAATCAAGTGTCCACCTTATCCATTGCTTTTTCTCGGCCTTGTTTTGACCGTACTTAAATCAGGCTTCTCTTTTCATACAGGCCCCTGAGCTCTGCCTACTCCAAGTCTGACCAAGCACACACACAGAAAGTGTAACGTGCCCTCTCATCAGTTTCTCTTGGGAACTGGCTGACCACAGAGATCCCCATTTCCTGTCACAACTCTGATAATTTCCCTTTTT